CTGGTATTTTTGACTCCGCCACTTTCACCCCCAAGCAAGGGTAAGCATCACCCCAAAATATTTAAATGGCATTGGGGGTTGAGTAATATTTCTTTTGAAAGCTCTTACAATTCTCTTTACAACAGACTTTAAATTTTATAATTCCGCCCAATACTTAAAGTCTGTTGTAAAGAGAATTGTAAGAGCTTTCAAAAGAAATATTACTCAACTCCCAACGCCATTTAAATATTTTGGGGTGATGCTTACCCTTGCTTGGGGGTGAAAGTGGCGGAGTCAAAAATACCAGCAAAGAATGCCCCCTTTAATCTAAAATCGACGGGTCTGAGCGTTTTTCTACAATCCTGACGCAGTTCCTGAAAATGGCTCTGTTTTGTTTTCATTTAGCCACCCTGTATGTATTCCGATATTTTTAGATATTCGCTAGATTCAAAGGACAAGAAACTTGAAGATAAGGGACCAATAAAAGTCAGTCTTTATCTGAAACAAATTTTTAAAAGAAATACAGTGCACCCCACTACAATAACCTCTTCTGTAGTCTCGTGGGAGATAGTAATATTTTGTAAGCCCTGATGTGCTTCACTTTTAATATTTAATTGTTTAAAATCGAAACTTTTTCCAGTCATACTTTGCTTCATCCTTTCTGGATTTATGACTGGATTCGAAAACGATCTCTACGATGGAACACCATGGCTTATAGCTGTCTGCTCCATGTTGGCCATCGTCGCCATTCTTGTATTAGTTTTTGTTTCATTTCAGCCGACCTCAAATACCAATATAGGATTTACAGTGAGTAAATTTATCAGTGCCACTAATGAAAATACTTGTGTTGTGAATACGAATTTCACCTTAATATAATTTCAGGTTCCTTTGGTGCCTTGGATACCCGGAATCAGCATTTTCATAAACATATATTTAATGACAAACATCCAGAAAGATACTTGGATCAAATATGCCTATTGGCTAATAATAGGTAAGTAACTTTTTTCAGTATTTTCTGTAAGATTTATTCAACTTTTCTTTTTTTTTTCAGGTCTAGTGGTTTATTTCGTTTACGGGTTGTGGCACAGTAATGAAAGGGATCGGAATAAAAATCAAGCGGCTGCAGATATTGAAGAAGATAAAATTTCAGCGTCCACGTTAGATCGCACATCCACAATTGACACAGGAATTACCAGTTGACCATGACAAAATTGTATATAATTGGTTGATATTTATTATGTAATTTTTAGTCGATGAGCATTTATTATTTGATTATATTTCTAACATCAGAATTGATCGTATAATCATTTTATGTGTTTAAAATAGTATATCTTGGCATTTGCTAATGACTATTTGTCTAAAACTTTTTTAATAAACTGTACATACATGTTTTCTTTTTTTTTCACTTACTGAGAGCATCAGCAATATACAGGGTGTAACTTTAAGTACATACTCCCCAGAATATTAATCAAATTATTTTTTTAAATCAGATAAATAATCTAGTTACAATTCGTTTTTAAAAGTGCCTTATTTATGCCATCTCTAGGCAGCTCCTGAACTGCGAAATTCCAATGGGAAATAATTTTGTAAAAACAGATTGCTTTTGAATGACTGTGACAGTTAAAGTTATGAATTTTTTTTATTTCAATGCATATGAAACGTTGAAGATTAAAAAAATGTTTGTTCTAATTGTAATAAGTAAAACCAATTTATGTTTTTAAATAATTATTTTTGCTGTTTTATAAAATGTACAGAAAAAAAACTAAATAAAAATACTAATCTTTTTTTTTGGTTTGTAAGCTTCCGTGGCTGATGTCGTTAATGGTTGAATGATTTCTGGGCTGGTTGCCATGTTCATAGGTGGGATTTCGCCCAAATCATTGAGGGAGCAAACATCTCTCGAAAAATTTTAACCCCCCACCCCTAAAAGAAAGAAAACCCACAGAGATTGCGAATTCCTGCCTATCTGCGGCAGTCCCGCCTATGGCCATGTTGTCGATTTACAACTCTTGACGTTTCGAGAGACAGATTGCTCTCTTCTTCAGAAGTTACTCTGAAACTGGAGATCTACTTTTCTTGTCACAATTTATATTTGATGTGAGACTAGTAGGGAGGACAGAGCATCACGTCAAAAACGCCGGAAAGTTTATCGACGAGATTCGAGGAATTGAACTCCAACCAGAAGATATCCTGGTGAGCTTCGAAGTTACATCCCTATTTAGGAAAGTACCCATCGACAAAGCCTTGGAAGAACTGCATCGAAGACTAATTGCAGAGAACAAGGACAACAAGAAGCCTAAAGGATTTGGCAAAAGTGTGCATAAAATCGACCTTCTTTGCATTCCGGGACCAATTCTACGAACAGATGGAGGGAGCAGCAATGGGTTCACCGTTATCTCCAGTCCTGGTCAATATATACACGGATGTTTTTGAGAAGAAAGCCCTAGAATCCACAACGTTGAAGCCTAAGTGGTAGTACCGATAAGTTGACGACACCTTCATCATCTGGCCCCACGAATGCACCACCGTAGCGTATTTCCTAGATCACATTAATGGGATACATCCAGATATCCAGTTTACTATGGAAGTAGAGAAAAATGCCGCCCTTCCCTTCTTGGATGTTTTGGTTGAGAGGAAACCAGATGGCACTTTAGGACATCGTGTATATAGGGAACCAACTCACACAGACATCTGAATGCGGAGTCCCACCACCACCCAGCCCAGAAACAGGGAATCATAAATATCTTGATTCATCAAGCGCGGATCATCAGGGAGCCAAGACACTTGGTCGAGGAACTGGAAATATCGAACGAGCAATCAGGAGGAGACATATACCCATGGAGAAACGGGAGTACTTAGCAATGACGTAAAGGTTACGTGAAAGATTGTATAGATAAAATCAGGCATCTTTTGAAGAAGAGGAATATCAACACAGTATTCAGCACTGTAAAGAAGGCGGTGGCAGCATTTCCAAAGACATGCAACAATGACCAGCTCCAGGGCCCCAGTGTGTACAGTATTTTCTGTTCTTGCGGAAAAAAATCAAAGACAAACAGGAAGGCACATCAACACAAGGTTAAAGGAACACAAAAGTTGCCTCAAAAATAATAACTGGGAAAAGTCGGCAGTATCAGGGCATAGGTCGGACACAGGACACACAGTGGATCTGAGTGAAGCCAACATGGTGGTGAGAGAGAGAAGATTTTGGCCCTGACTGTACAGAGAAGAAATTTACAAAAATCCGAACAATTTCAACAGGGACGATGGTGTGGGTCTGCCAGGTACATGGAAGAGAGTCATCCGTGAAAGCAACCCACTGGACGGTCAACAAAGCGTATGAGGTCACCCACCAGGACATGATGGATCAGTGACCATATCAAATATAAATAGTGACAAGATTAGTAGATCTCCAGTTCCAGAGTAACTTCTGAGGAAGAGAGCGATATGTCTCTCGAAATGTCAAGAGTCGTAAATAGACGACGTGGCAACCAGCCCGGTAATAATCATTCAACCACTAATCATTTCGTTTTTAAGAAAAAGAATTTAGTATTTTTTTTAAAGTACTCTGTTTAGTTTATGAATCTGTGTCAATGACTTCTGCCATTAACTTAGTTTAAGACAACTACATATCAATCAATCTGATGTGATATGACAACAAGGCACTGTAAAGGCTAAAAACGAATAGCCAACATTAATTCGGCGAAACAAGAATGGCTGAATATGTCACCACTTTATTTTATAACATTTATTTTAATTTTCAGTTTATGGGTATTGAACATACAAAAAATATATAGTTACAAAAATTGAAACTTATAGGACTGATCTAAGTGCGTTTAAACTATTTTTCTGTTTATTTAACTAATACAGAGCTTGGTCCATGCTTTTCTCAAAAAGATTGATCACAGCCCCACAAAAAAATAAAGGATCGGATCTGGTATTCAGACCCATGTATTTCTATGTATTTTTTCCGCTGAATCCGATCTGCCTTTACATTTGGCACAACGGGTCTGAGTTTTAGGGAAAATTCAAAAAACAGGTCAAAATTCACAAAAAACATCATTTACGTTCGACGAAAGTTATAAAAAATCAAATAATTCTATCAGCTCACTAGACGTTTGATTTTTCACTCGTTTAATTCCAATTTATCATCATAAGAGTCAGACAAGCTGGTCCAATTTTATTCAAAAACAGAAAATAGATCAAAAACGCCATTTTCATGGCATAATTCGTGTTGCAGAGTTCTGGATCCATCTTTTTATCCACCCACCCATTTATGAATTTATACATCTTTCTACCCAATCGTTTATGCATGAATACACATATTTATCCATCCACCTGTACCACCTATAATACCCACTCATCCACCCGTCTATCCATCTACTTTTTGTGCTGAGAGATGAGCCAACAGCCTAGAAGATTGAGAATGCAATAAAACTTGTAGAATACTCTACTTTCTAAACAAAAGAAAACAATATCTATAGGTAAATCATTCTTATTTTTGTTGCTATAATGTGTTCTCTTTTCTTCAAAGGATCTATGCAAAGGGTTACGATTTCATATAGTCCCTCTATTTTTCGTTTCTCTTTTTAAGAACCAACAAAAATCGGCCATCATGTTTTCATCCCATCTTCCTTGATATCGTTGTTCTATAACCTTCATATCCTGATGAAATCGTTTGCCTTGTTCTTCGCTATAATCTCCAAGATTTTCAGGAAACCAATCCAGACGTGAATGAAGAAAGTGCAACTTGTAGTTCATCAAACATCCCAGATCTTGGAAGTCTTTTATCATTTTTGATACAATTTCTTCATATTTAGGACACTTGTTGTTTCCTAAAAAATTTGTCGTTACAGCTTTGAAACCAGTCTGTAAAACTCTTCTCAATGCTACTCATTGAAGTTAGAATGTAGATGAATGTTGCATCCTTGAACAATGTCGGGATCTAAGGTCCATCGAATATACCTACTTTCAATTTAGCCTCAGAAATATTCGGAAATTCAAAAACACGATGGCCGATTTTTGTTGGTTGTTAAAAAGAGAAACGAAAAATAGAGGGACTAAACGAAAGTGTAGATCCTTTGAAGAAAACATGTTATAACAACAAAAATAAGAATGATTTGTAGGTATCGTTTTCTTTTGTTTAGAAAGTAGAGCATTCTACAAGTTTTATTGCATTCTCAATCTTCTAGGCTGTTATCTCATCTCTCAGCACAAAAAGTAGATGGATAGATGGGTGAGTTTTATAGGTGGTACAGGTGCATGGATAAATATGCGTTTTCATCCATGAACGACTGGATAGAAAGATGTATGGATTCATAAATGGGTGGGTGGATAAAAAGATAGATCCAGAACTCTGCAACACGAATTATGCCATGAAAATGGCGTTTTTAAGCATTTTGATCTATTTTCTGTTTTTGAATGAAATCGGACCAGTTTGTCTGACTATGATGATAAATTGGAATTAAACGAGTGAAAATTCATAAGTCTAGTGAGCTGGTAGAATTATTTGATTTTTTATAACTTTCGTCGATCGTACATGATGTTTTTTTGTGAATTTTGACCTGTTTTTTGAATTTTCCCGAAAACTCAGACCCGTTGGGCCAAATCTGAAGGCAGATTCGGATTCAACGGAAAAAAATACATGGAAATACATGGGTCTGAATACCAGATCCGATCTTTTTTTTTGTGCTGTGTAATTTTAAAAATGTGTATCACAAACCCATCAGAAAAGCATTTCTTCAATGAACTCAACTGAAAAGGTGTCTCTAGTTTTATTTATTATCCATAATCCAATAATTGGTATATGAGAAAATTTTTGTAACATTGTGAGGTATTTATTTTTATTGGAATCAAAATAGAATTTTTATTTGTGTACCGTTGTGTTTTAAGTTTAGTTTTAAAATTAAATTTAAAGCGGTATTTAGTGAATTGTTTCATGTAAAAAAAGTATATAACCTTCTAGTGTTTGCGTGTGATAAATAAAAAAATATGAGATTTAACAATGTACACTGAAACTGCAAATATACGCTTGCGGCTAGTGTACGGGATTGTTTGAGGTTACACTAGTCTGTCCAGCGGCGAGGTATGAAATACGAAAAAATAAAGGTTAAAAATATTCATTATCAAAGCGAAGTGTGAGAAAACTAACTTATGATCTGTTTCAAAAAATATAAATATGAACCCCATTCACCCAGTGTATTTTAATTAATTTTATGATAACAAAAATATGAATATATTGTTTGAATAACAGAACTACAGAAAAAAACATAAAAATGAAATTAGCGGTAACATGAATATTTCTTGGAGATCTCTCGGATGTCGTGCAGTTTTAGAATTCGGAAAGCGAGTGTGTCCTTTTCTTTGCTGGGCATGTAAGCGAAAAATGTA